GCAAACTGCTGACACCTATGTCTTATCTTTTGAAGGAAATAATCTGCACCCATCAATATGTGATGTAGCTCTTACAGCAGCCAAGACTTTAAATTTAGGATTTGGCCTCTTGTTTGGATACACATGTGGGCAGTGGGTGGTAATTTAAAGGCCAAGTTGCCAAGAGCCTGTTCTTTATTTTAATAACCCTGACAACTTCCAATGCCAGCGCATACACACTGGTCTGATATTCAGAGATTTAAGAACCTCTCAAATTTTTCTCCCTGTTCCTGAGTGGTAAAGAAGTCACTGCCTCCTTCCATGCAGTCTGTTTAAAGTTACTGTGTGGTATTCTCCGGTAAGGCCATTTGCACAAGAAAAATAATGTTCAAATTGGAAAATAAATGCAGCTTGTTTTGGAATACATATGAAAGCTTTGCGCTTTCAGTCCTAAGAGGATTTAATAATTAATCCTATTGTCCATCACTGAGAAGACAACAAAGTACTGAGAGGGTATCATTTGGCATTGTCTGCATTTGGCCGCTGAACTGGCTGATTACATTCAAAACATGGCTTGTGTTCTTCTGACTGATTTCTTCAAAGGATGAATGATCAAGTACAAACAATTGCTGCTTGGGCCATGACCACTATGAAAACGTGCCTAAGTACACAGTAAGAGATGAGAAGGAAGTTTGCTTGCTTCAAAGCAATTCCAGCTACCGGGTCAGCTCCTGTGAAAGGTTTTTACCTCTTATTTGGCCAGTTCCTTTAGGAATTCAAAAACATTCGGAAAAACAGAAGGTGTTTTAACAGTCGGTGTTTGATTTTGCTCTAAGCTCGATTTGGATGAAGTGACAACTGTAGGTGAGTTCTCAAATTTAAACTCATTTGCAGTAAATGCACTGTTATCTTAAGAACAGTTGTTGATTTGACCTTTTTCAACTATTTTTATTAAAACACCAGCTGAGAAAAATTGAAGTAGATGACCTGGAGCTTAATTTGGGATTTTCATCCCAAATAGTTCTCTGGAATGTGAGGGGTTCTTTCAGGTGTAGCTGTTGGCAATGGAAAGCCTTGGCCGCTTGTCACCTTCAGGGATTTTCATTGTAAAGGTTATTGTGGCCGGACAGTCTGTGCTTGCAAGGTCGCAAGTGTTTGATGTGATCTGCTGTTGCTGAGGGACTGTAGGTGAAGGTGGGCATTAGGAAAGTGTTTGAGAAACTGTACCTAGGTAGTCTGCAAACACCCTTTCCTGCAGAGCTTTTAAAAGTTTGCAGTGCTCTTGTTTATTTTTATGCTTGCAGCTCCAAAATGGAGACAGAATGAAGACATGACAAGATCAAATTCTTGGGGGTTACTTTGGTTTTTTGCGCTTTTTCTTTCTCCTGTCACCCAGTGACACAGCTTTTTTTACTTGAGCTAACTGGGTTTGCGTTTCTGAAGCTGTTGTGATAAAGGACTACAAGAGGAAAAAGGGTTTCCAGATGCTCCTCTCTAAGAATTTCTTGGGAAGTATGATATAACCATCTGAATTTCTAACTTCATTATATTTGTATTATTATTTCATTGTGGGCCCAGCGGTCTTTACCACTTTAAACAACAAATTAAAGGAATGGGTGTGACAGCTTTTCCAGGTGTCCTTACATAAACCCTTCAAACTGACCTGCAGTGGCAAGAATAAGATTGTGTAATTGCTTTCGCTTCTCAGGTTCTGGACAATGTACAGTTGGTAAAGTTACCTTTGCAGAATATTTAACATTCAGAACACTTTTTAGATGTTTGTGAAATTAATATGATAGTTTATTTCATAGTTTATCACCTTTCAATTTTATTAATGTGCTGTGCTTTATTTTTCTAAACACTTCTCTGTAATTGAGTAATTAGAAAACAAAAAAAGTGGTGGGGAGGGAAGATTGGGAGAAACTGTGGGAGTATGTGTTGAGGTCTCAAAAGTTACCTGAAGTTCTGTTTTCTGTAGTAGTGCAGGGAAAGCAAAACCTGAGTGGTTCCTTCAGAAAGATTCGGAAGGGGACACACCTTCACTTATCAGCTGGCCCTCCAGGTATCATAAAATGTAGCTGTGTGGCTAACAGTCGGACTGCAAACCTACCCTTTCTTTCCCTTTACTCTGTCTTCATTTAACACTTTCCTTTAACACAGCAGCAAGTTAGAAAGTGGTGTTCCTTGTGGATAAACAACTGCTGAAACTTTTCTGAAGCATCTGCTTTTACTATAACTTAAAACCAGTTGGTATTTTGATGAAGAAGTGTAAATGCCCCCAGCTACTTCTGCAGCCACTGTCATTCTGGCTTTAACTAATTTGTATAACTTCTTATTTTATACAATTTTGTACTCTGCAAACCAGCAGATTTGCTACTCACCTATCCATCTTAGCATTCCCTTCAATTAATTCCTTGAATTACAAAGGAGATGGTTCAAGAGAAGTAAAAAAATATATTGAAAAGTTAAGCAAGATCTTGATCAGAACTACAAGCAGCTGCTTTCTCCCAGTTTGGTAACACATGCAGTTAGCCCATCATAAGAAGCATTGCAGGAAAACTCTTTTCCATGTTCATGATTAAAGTAATTCTTATAACCCTGTACTAACATCAGTGTGAATGTTCTGGAGAATGCTTGGTACATGTAGTTTAAATGATCACTTTTTCAGACCGAACACACTTTCTGTGCTTATGTAAGTTTGAGAAGTTCCCCTGACAAGTGCTCCAATCATCAGAGATAAGAAACACGAAAATATTAGAAAGGCTGGTGTTTCAGATAACTTTGGATATCCTGAATTATTCTCTTGAGTATTCATTTGCATTTTTTTCTAAATCTTGCTTTTTCTTTTTTTTTAATAAAGTGAACTCCAAAAAGTCTGTTGGTAGCAAGCCTGGAATTGCACATACTTTTAGCTGGATTACATATTTTCAAATAAAGAGCTAGTTTCCTATTGTACTAGAGTTTCTCTCCTTCCTCTGAACTAAAATCATTTTTTATGCCCATTTGGGAGGGGAGGAAGTACAAGGATTTCATTTTTGATACCATGTATGTGATATTTACAAACACTCGCCCTGTAAGCTGTGGTGTGGCAGTAAAACTGCTGGAGAGCTTCCCTGCGGTTGTAGTCACAGAGCAAAGGCTGCTCTGACTGCACATGTTCGCCTCCGGGAGCGCAGTTGCACTCGGTGTCTAAAGGTAGAATCCAAACCTCTGGTTTTTATGGATGTTACACAAGTCTAGTGGTGTTTCTAGAAAATACACTGAGGTAAGGTAACATTTTGCATGTTAGATTGTAATGAAATGTTTTAAAACAGAATGCCTGTTTTTCTTGTGGTTTTGGGGTTTTTTGTTTGTTTGTTTGTTTTAAATCCTTTTCACCCCTGCAAGCCCTCTGAATAGCAGCAGCTATGTCATAGTTGTACTTTGGACTCTAAGGCTTGCGCTTTCAATATTTTTTTCACACTTACTGAAACAGGTTACACTACATGTAACGTTTTAGATGTTTTATATGATAACACAAAAGCACAAGTTAAAAAGTCTCTGGCAAAACATCTGAAAGCTAGATTGAGATGGCAGCGTGTTTTTTCATCCCTTTCCCGACTGCAACAGCATCTTGATATGATGTAAGCTGCCCAGAGTTTAGACATCTTCAAAAATCTGACTGCATACATGATTGCCAATAGAATTTGCAATTTCAGACTGAAACCAACACTTTGATAATATAAAAAGCAGTTTTGATCATCTTGTTTGCTTGAGCCTATGGTTGTGTGCTGTTTAACAAACGCAGTTGTGACCTCATGGGAACATGCTGTACATATTCAGGGCTTGCTCAGTTACCTTCTCAGGAGTCATGCATGTCCCAGGGCCTGTGAATCACTTGAATGTGTTTGAGCAATGTTACTGCTAATGTCTGAGGAGGAGGAAGGGCTTGCATCATAAGATTGCATTTTATTTTAATACGATATTGCTGTCTATACCCACAGTAGGTGTCTGTGTTCCTTCCCAGATTGAGTATTGCTGTTCACAGCTTTAATCCTTTTTCTTTCTTAAAGAGTAAAAGTTAGAGAGAAACTGGTGAAAGAGGAAAGTGCTCGTGGAAGCCCTGAACTTGTCACAGACACAGTATCTCAGAAAAAGTCCCATCCAGTGCCAGCTCACTACATGCCTCTTCAGACAGAAACGTCTGCCTTTGATAGGGTTATAAATCAGCCCATCAGTTCAGGCCGCAAACCAATTCATGGCTATATTCAGCCTGCTGGCACTGCTCTCACAGCTCAGCTGATGGCAACAGAGGAACCAGCAAACATCTCTGTTGGCAGTGTCCTCCTACCCGACGGTGTTAGCCTCCTGACAAAACCATCATCAGCCACTGCATCAGAGAGTGAAAAGAAAGAGGCTCTTGGTTGTGGAGCAAAACCTGATGAAGAAGATTCCTTGGAGGGTGAACAGGCTTTGAAAGGCAGAAGACCAATTTTGCCATCTGAGATTCGCAAGCAAGGGAAGAACCACGAAGGCCTCTTTGGAGGAGGAGAATTGGATACCTCTGTGGGGAGCTCCTCTTTCACAGGCAAGCTGAGCATTAACTCAGAAGTTCAGAGGGAGCTGGAGTGCAGTAAGAGGCAGGTTCCTGAGCAGCAGTTGAAGACCCCTGAGAACATAGAGAGGAGTGAAGCCGTTATGTACATACAGAGTGGGTCTGTATCGCAGCCTGCCAAGGCGAAAGCTCCTGTTTGGAAAGTGTCGACAACAAAGCATAAAGTCCTGACTCGCTCAATGTCTGACTATACGGTGGCTCCTAAGCTAGAAGCTTTTAAAAGTAAGGAGAGCGTGGAAGCAAATGCACCAAATGGTGAGATTGGCATGGTTGACACAAAAGTCTCTGTTGCCCAGCTCCGTAATGTCTTTCTGGAGACTGCTAGTGCCAACAAGAAAACGGAACTGTAGGTGACATTTCAGATGTTTTTTCGTGTGAAACTTGCACGTCCTTGGCAAAATTACACACACTCAACAGCAGTTGTATTCAGCACTTACAGCACACAGCTTAGCTCTCACCAGTGTGTACTGGAGGCTGAGATGGTTTGAATCCCGCTTCTGTGCTTCTGCTCGCTGGTGCAAGTTGTGATGTGGGGTAGCTGGAATGTGTATGTCCGCGCATGTTACTAGAGGAGCATGCAGAGTGATCTCTAGTCAAGTGTTGAGATGCTTACATCTATGCTTTACTTCTCTCTTCCATTTTCTTTCCTATGCGCTTTCTATCATGTGGTTTTAAAGTGAATCGCGGTTTGAGATGTCAACGTCAGGCGGCACTTTGTCTGCCAATGGTGACCGTGAACGAGGGCCACGAAGGCCGAGACGCTATTTTACTCCTGGTGAAAATAGAAAGACTTCTGAGAGATTTAAAACTCAACCTATAACGTCAGCAGAACGAAAGGAGACAGATAGGTAGGCATGTATGCAGCTCTGTGTAGCATTCCGGTGCAGGTAGACGTGAACAAGCTTGTCAAGAGACTTTGTTTATTTATTAGTATAAACAATTTGCAAGGTGGTTATTGCTCCTTAAAAACAATCAAGCATTTGTTGTAGCTTCTTACAAAACAAACCGACAAACCAATTTGTTGCAAATCCCCCCCACATAAAATAGCAAAGTGAATCATCATAAAGTATTATAGTTGTCTGGTTCTGTGTAATGATAAATGTTTTTGTTTGTTTTAATATAATAATTATTTTAATTTACTCTGCTGTATTATTTACTTTTTTTTGTAAACAACCAAAGCTATGTATTTTATGTTAAAAGAGCTGGCAGCAAATCTTAGACTTTTATCTTCTGCAAGATGAACTGGAAATCAATTTCCTTTACTGTATTTAAGTTTGGCTGCAGTTGCTTGCTCTTCTCCTTTATTAAAGGATGTTGAAACATGAGAAATAAAGTTTCCCACTTTTAAGACTTTCAAGGTCCTGCTACTTCAGATGGAGTTTGAATTTAATTTTTGATTTCTCATTTCCAACTAACTTCTTTCTGTTTGATAATTTTTCACTAGGTCCATTTTGAGCATGGAAATACCAACTGCTGAAGGTATGGTGCTTTACTGTTTTCTGAGGAAGAAATAGGAGCAAATGTGTTATGTTTTGTTTTAACTGAAGAACTACTTGATAATTCAAATTCAAACAAAGTCCACCTGAAAATAACCACCATTACCTATAATATGTTGGAGGTAGCACTTTTCCTTGGGCCATGTCTGCTACAGAATTGATCTAAATTCACTTAAGTCCCAGAGTCTGTCTATGGATACCTAACTTTGTATGGGAGGCAAGGTGGAGAATGGCTTTACACTTTTCAACATGGTTGTGGCTTTTTTCCGATTTAGACAATAAATAAGGTAGGTGGTGGGAAAAAATACACATTTTAATTAGTGATCTAGGACTAATAACTAAAAAAGCTTTTACTGTTGTAAAACTGATATTGAGAATGTGTTTTTTAGTTTAGGAGGTTGCAAGGTGCTGGTTATTAAATTATGAAACTCAGTCTGCCATCTTGCTTCTCTTTCCCTCTTGTCACTCTCAGCAAGTCTGGCACAAATTAAGTAGGTAATCTCATGAGTGGCTAAATTTAGATTTAATGCCTTATGCTATTTGAAAGCTGATATTCTCTGCAGCTTTGGGATGCTGGCTCTGGGATCTGGAGGATGCTGATTTCAGCTTCTAAGGATACCAGTTGAGCCTCTAAGAAACGGGGACACAAGGTGGTAATCGGAGTGATCAGCTTCCAGGAGAGACCATCCTGTATGGTCAAATAGTGAAAAATAGGTGTTCTATACAGCAGAATGAATGTTGACCCTTAACATAGTCTGTCAGTCTAATTTTTTTTTAGTCCATGTATTATCATAGACTGATTATTCATAAAGGGTTGTTTGGATAACTTGAAAGCACATGAACTGTCCTAAAGACAAGTCTTTTGTTCTCAAATCCTGTTAACAGTTTTCCTCTGATGCAATATATGTAAGTATGAGTAAAGTCTACACAGTTTGGTTCGTGATAAGTTGCTTGCTAAAAGAGAGTGACAGCCAGCTTATTTGCTGGTGGTGCTTCTTGTGTTAGTAAAACATAATTTTTGAGGAGTTCAGAAATCATCTCATCAAAAAAACCCCAAACTTGCACTCCATGTGAGCTTGGTTCATTACTTTCAGCCTTCTTTTGCTTTTTCCTTTGTGTAGATGAAGAAAAAATGGATGACCGAGCCAAACTAAGTGTAGCTGCAAAGAGGCTGCTTTTTAGAGTAAGTATTACATTTTCTTAATAGAAGGCTCAGTTAAACATTTTATATAGAAGATGCTGGAGAACCTAAAGTGCATCAGAATGAAGTATAATGCAGTTAACCAAGTCCAAGCTACATAAACTTTGTTCACTTCATCTCATGTACCTGCCCAGTAAAACTATTGCTCTAAAGCCTTTTTTAAGAATGTCATTTATAGACGTGTAGTTAAACTCTGTGATGCCTACTCTGCAGTCACACCCTGCTTCTAATTCAGAGATGAGCATTTGGGAAATTGACTACTTTGCATGCAAGAAAACTAAAAAGCAAGTACTGTTTTAGAACTTTTCTTCCATGGTTTTAATGATGGCAAATGTCCTCGTAGGAAATGGAAAAATCATTTGAAATGAAAAATATTCCTAAGCCACCTACAAGAAGTTCAGCAGTAGAGAGAAGACTGCGGCGTTTGCAGGATAGATCACACACACAACCAATTACCAGTGAGGAAGTGGTCATTGCAGCTACGTAAGTCTTGTACATAAGTTGTCTCTAACTTTGGTTCCTGCTTTTAAATTTGGAAATAAGTTCCATAAATGTGGTGTTTACAATTTTGTAGCAGCAAAAACATTTATTGTTGAGGCCAATTTCCTTGAGAACCACAGGGGAAACTATACTGAAATACCTTTTTAGAAGTAGAGGGATTAGTGAAGTGTAATTTGTATGAATTGTAATTTGGCAGAAAACTTATGAACCTGTAGATTAGGTAAACAGGATTAATCATAGTTTGGTTTGTAACTTAAATGAAAAAACTACTTTGCAACGAGGGAAATCTGCACGATTTCTTTTAGAATGTATTTCTATTGTGGAAAATCTTTTACACTCTGAAATCTCAAATGTACTTTTTTGGAAATGCATTCCTTGCACTCTGGTCATACATCTTGAAATTTCCCTGGGGGAAAAAAAAAAAGAAAGAGATTTTTGGGAAAAATTAAACAAAGGTGGATGGTTGTTCACCTAATGATCTACTAAAATATGGCTTATGTTATGGATAATGAGTTAATTCAAGAGACAACCTGTTTGCTCCTCTGGGTTTTTAGTTCTTTTGAAGTATTTGAAGTTATTTTGCAACAGTTTCAGCTGATAACTCAGTTAATTACAAATCATTGCTGTTTGTTTTTTTCTGTTTTGTTTGGTTTTGGTCTTTTCTGTAGTTAACACAATGTATTGCTTTTCTTAATGCTTTTTTCTTCTCTCTCCCTGTGAATTTTCCTTCCTTGGCAATTCTTTAAAGTGAATCTACCCCTGCTTCACGTTCTGTGAATACCCACACAGTAGTGACAAGAGTACCTAGTCCCACTGTAGTTAAGAGCACTGTACAACCTATCAGGTACTGTGGGGGATAAGCATGCATGGTACATGGAGCACAAGATTCCTCAATAGCAGATGCGTCTTTAAAGTCTTGAATGCCTTTTCAATGTGTCAAGTCAATACTTGTTTCAAGAATATTTAAAACACTTGTCAAATTCATTTATGTTTGCATGATAAAACAGTGCAGCTTTTTTCTTTGTCAAGCATCTGTTTTCAGGACCTTTCTAACCACACTTACCTGTTCTAGAAACATATTCTTCTTTGTGAAAGAAATGAATTTGCATGTGAGCAAACCTAGCAGAGAATCCTCTTTGCTCTTGGTAATTTCTTATATGCAATAATATCATCTCAAGAAGAAAACACTGAAGCTGGGTGCTTAACTTCACAAGCAGTACATATCCCCTTTGTCTGCCTCTACATATATTTTTAGCCTGCAAAATGAAAGGAAATATAAGAAATTGCACCACCTGTGGGTAAAGTTGCAGAATACTGTTTGCCTGTTGGTAATAAAGAATACTAATTCTATAAGTGTGCCTGAATCTAGCTAGAAGTGAATAAAATATATTATTGTAGAGACAAATGCAGTTACAGCTTTTATGAATTAATGTGTCTGCCTTCAGCATTGGTCAAACAATCTTCAAAATTACTGGAGTATTTTTCAAAACTAGTGTTTGTTGTTGAGTTACCCCAGATAAAACAAAATACAGTCTGAATTCCATTCCACTTCAAATTATGAGGCATTACAGTTTATGCTAACCTAAAAGGAGCACCCACTTGAGGTTTAAATCCATCTTTTAAATGTTTTTATTGTTTATGCTCCACAAATGATTTCTAATAAAATCGGATTTTACATAAATTGCGCTGTAGGTTCTACAGCAGGCATCGTAACTGTCTCTCCATAGCCCTGTTCTGTATGAAGAGATTCTTCTGAAAAGTCTTTCTTCAATCTTGAGTTCCCCTTTCAAAAAATTGTTGTGTCCTGATCAAATTAATTTGTGAACGAAAATTTAACTTTTTTTTAAATCTCCAGCTGTTGAATTATAATTCATCATGCCAATGTTGAACCACTGCATAACCACTTAGGCTGCTGTATTACATTGGCTATTGTGCTTCACATGCAATTTTTCTGCTTCTATCAGGTTGAGATTTTAAAACTTCATAATGGCTTCTTGGAAACTAATTTCTAGTTCTGTTTCTTCAGCTTGCAGGCATCAGCCCACCAAAAAATTTTAGCTAAAGAGGAGATAAGAGCAGCCAAGGAGGCGATGGGGCAAGATCAGTCTGATGAACCAGATTCTTCCACCTTAAGTATGGCAGAAAAGATGGCTTTGTTTAACAAACTGTCTCAACCAGTATCCAGGGCCATCTCCACAAGGAATCGAGGAGATATTCGGCACAGGAGGATGAACGCTCGTTATCAGACTCAGCCAGTCACTCTTGGAGAAGTCGAGCAGGTAAATGCAATCTTAGCTCTTTTTTCATTTTTTGCTTTTTATTGGAGAAAACAGTTTCAGTGTAAGATGCTGTAACAGCTGGCCTCTTCTTTGCTCTGAGCTACACACTGGGGTCACAACATATTCACAAGAAAAAGCTTGTCAGGAAGCAGTCTTGACATTGAGGAACAACATCCTCTAAAACGTTCGGCTTCATTGATGTATATTTCTTCTTTCAATAATTCAAGAATATATTATCTTCATAGTTAGTACATGCTGTACATTTCACAGTGTCTGCCCTTTCCAGTAGAATATAACATGTCTTCTAAAAGTGAATTCCTGACCAAAGGAGTAAAAACTGTGACACACATCATTATGCTTTAGGTGTATTTTCAGGGAATTTTGGAGCTTTGTCATGTGCAACTTTCAGACTCTTTCCTGAAAGCACTATGTGTTTCCATTATTAGTCAGGACATATTCTGTCATTTTCCTCTGAGAGGGGCCATTGATTTTTATTTTTTTTTCCCCCTAAAAGCAGAATACTTTTGAAATTCAGGAAGTCATGGTCTAAACGAAATTATTTAATATGTGCACTGGAATTGCACTTCCTGTTCTGGAATCTTTCATATAATTGGAACTGCAAAGGAATGCCTTTTTAGTGAAGTTTGAGCATAAGATGGCCCAGCAGCCATCCTTCAGAGCTGATGTTCACAGTAGCAGAAACATCAGCCCTCTTGTATTAGAGCTTTAAAAGAAATCGCTTTAACAGTGAAGCACAACTCCTGTGCATGTCATATTTCTAGGGATTTGGATCTATCTGAGTGTTAGAAAGTTTCTACCCTTCTCTTTCTATGTGCTTCATTCATGTTTATACATTTTTCATATTATAATAATAGAATAGTGAGAAGGCATGATTTCTCTAACCATATTAGTGCTGTACAGGTATACAATTGTACTTTGTGCCTACTTTAGTTAGGCATGAAGTAGTAGGAAATATTTAGCAAATTTAATTTAGGAAGATTTCCAGGCCTTGCATAGCCCTTTTTCCATTCATTTTACATGTGCCAACCACTGTCACAGCCTGGCATCTCTAATGATTGTGTCACCAATTAGTTTGGGGACCAGGAAGATAGTCAAGAGACATGGACTAAAGAGACTACATGAGAAAGAAGGGACACTAACATTAGTATGTCAGACTTTTACAGAACAAGCAAGGAAATGCAAAGGAAGCATGTTCTGTCATCTCTTTCTGCACCTAGCAAAGGAAAAGAGAGTTGACTCTGAACCAAGTTCAATCAGAGTGTATTTTCAAAAAGACTTTCTATGCTGAACTGTTCATTTGGAGTGTTGGGATGTTTTGAGATGAAGTTAGAGTTTTTCTATGAAGAAACAAAAGAAAGGTATCAAAATAGATACCTAGAGGTTATGTTACCAAAATATATCATTGCAAATGTAAATATATTGTAATTAAAGCTGAAATCCCTTTGCTGATCTCCTCTAAATTTCTAATCCTGATAGATGCAATGGAAAAAGAATAAACTGGTAATTATTTTCTTAATCTTTCTTTGGAATATTTGAGCTAGCATAGTAGTCTTTGCTCTGCTTTCCGTTTTGTTTAATGGGCGACTGTGTAGTCCATGCTTTATGGAATTTGCATGTGCATTTTAAGTTTTCAGTTGATTTCCTCCTACCAGTGTGATTTTGTCTATTCCTTTTGCATGTTGTTCACTAGCCCTGCAGTTTACCAAAACAACAAAAGCCAAACAAAAAAACCCTCTCCTGATGTGTATGAAGGCATGTTTGTCAGTCTCCTTTATAGCTTTTGTCTCCTTTGGAGAAGGCAAAGCCAAGCTCTGCATTTCAGAAAAAAATTGCATCTTAACTATCTCTAGAAAAACGATGAAATTATTATGTTAGAAGTGTAGCAAAGAGAATTGTTTCACTGTGGGGGCCGGCAAAACAAATTTGGAGGTTTTTTTAATATGCTGCTTAGATTCAAATACTTTGCTCAGAGATGTAGATGACAGGCAATGTTTATGTTTGAAAAAGCCTTAGACTGACAGTCCCGTGCGAGGGTGATTTATGTGGCAGAAGTGTCAGGAATGTCTGCCCTGTGTAGGACAGCACGGAGCAGCCTGTCTCTGGCGCGGAGTTAGCACCAGAGCTGGAAGCTGTATAACCGTATAGGAGCAGAGCTGTGCCAAAGCTAATTAGCCCTGCTGAGATGCAGAGTTGATTAGCCTAGGCACATGGCATGTCATCCAGCGTCTGGAACCTGAACTAATGTCTTTCCCCAGTGCTGCACAGTACCGTGCCAGTATGAGCCTTTTCATGGAGCCCTGACACGATGTCATGTTGCATGCTACACGTACACCCTTTACTGCTGAAGATGTTGCCGTTCACATGCAGTTGTTTCTTCCCTGGGTGGAATCATCCATCTGCAGCAAAATTATGGGGGCATTGTTGCTCTCCTGTATCTGTTTCTAGTCTATATTTATAGAGCACTATGTTCATACAGAAGCACTCTTCTGAAGAACTGGTGTGATTAAACTTGTTTTTGGGAATTGATGATTTCAGAGCTTTTAAGTCCACCTCCTCCCTTTTTTTATTTTTCTTTTCTTCATAGGTACAAAATGAAAGTGGAAAAATCACTCCCCTGTCAACGGCAGTTGCAACAACAATTTCAACGACGGCATCTGCCCTTTCTCCACTGTACACTGGAGACCTGTACACGAAGCCAGCTGGTGACGGAAGCGTCAGCGCTGCCACTAGAGCTGAGCTGAGATTCCAGTCCTCAGCAGAAAACCCAGACTCTTCAGAAAAACGCACACAGAAGTCAGAACAGTGGCAGCCCTCAATGGAAGCACTAGAAAGCAAAAGAGCATCAAAGAAGCTTGAAGAAGAGAGAAAGAGGTTTCTAGCACACGAAGCTAATGAAATTACAAAGTATAGCTCCTTTGAGGAGGAAACCACACATCCTGTTCCTGAAAAAACAGGAGACTACCATAAAGAGACAGCGTACAGCTTCCTCAGGAAGGGCAGCATGGAACTATTTAGTTCACAGGCGCTTTTTCAGCCTCTTGAACAGAAGGAAATGGATACTGGCATGCAAGGTAAATGGGAAGTCAAAGAAGGCCAGTCCTTTGAAGACAAGATGGATTTGGAAAGTGTTTTGAAAAGCAAGACTTTGCAAAGAGGTGCAGTATATACTTGTTATTGATGTAGTCTCATTCAGCAAGCAGTGGTGCTTCTCTAGTTTTAAGCATCTTCATTTCAAGCATTATCAAGGCTGTTTTAACACTGCTTAGAAGTAGAAAAATACCTGTGAAATCTTAACTTTTACAAATACAGTTTTCTCTTTGTTAGTCTTTCAATTCTTCAGCCTCTAAAGATGGCTTGATTTTATTCATATTTTCTTACTGTGAAAGAAGTGGTATTGTATGCTGAAGCTAAGATTTATCCTTTCCTCTTTTGCCCTTGCCCCTGCCCTCCAAAATGCTGAACAAGCTAAACTCTCTGCTCTGGGTCAAGTGTCTGCTTTTAATTGTTGCCTTCTCATGCATATAGTTATACATTAACTACATATGTACATATGTAGCTAGTAGTGGGTAATTTTCAGATAACTAATTTTGGAAAACTACTATTATTTTCTCTTCAGTGTGGTGACAAAATATAAACCAAGTAATTCTCAGAGCAATGATGTTTCTATATGTATCGCATAATTCAGACTTAATAAGTAAACTCATCCATCCTTAAATAAATTGCCTTTGTCATTGTATAAAGCCTTCTATTCTGTTGAATTTAGAAGAATGTTGCATTAGTTTTCTGTTTTATTATGTTATGGGTATAGGAACACAGTACCCTGTACTATTAGAAGCATTGTTGTCTTTATCCTGTGAAGTAAGCTTGTTTTGAATGTAATGTTCTTCAAAGGGGTGTAGGGAGGAATGTATAGTTCTGCCTATATTCCTTGAAAGCAGTGTCCATTCTATTCAGTTAGCTTTTAGTGACTGCAGAGGAGATAGAGACTGAGATAAAACAGGAGCAGTTGTGTATCAGAGGTGTTGTGCTTGTAAAATTTCAAAAAAACCGAAGTGAAGATCTCTTACATTTCCTTAAGTATAACTGTAATAGTGCATTTATATTTCATCAAGGCCGTTTTTCCAGTGATTTAATTGCTGCCCCCCAACACCCTCCTAGAAAATAATACCTTTATTAAGCTATTAAATGCCCTCCTGGTATGCTCTTATGCATTAAGCTGCTTTACCAATAGGTTAGTTTCTTATTTAAATTTGTCTGCTTCTCTTCCCCTCCTCTTTGTTCCCCTTTCATTTTCATCAGTCCATTTGTTTTCTTGTTGGTGGAATGATAGGAGCAGCAATTTGTGCCTCATCCATATGAAGTTCAGAATTGTGTATTGAACATGACATTCTGTGGCTTTATGTGAACTCCAGTCAAATGGCCAGTCTTTGCAGCAGATACTACTACATGACTAATCTTTGTACTCCAGCTCAGCCAGAAATTTTTTCTCTGTTAGGATAGCATGTGATCTGAATGCTAAAAATCAGATTTGCTGCTTCGTTGTAAGTAATGTAAAATACATTTGAGAACAGTACTAAGTCTAATTGAACACTTCTCTTTTGAATGGGCAGACCACGCTGAGCCTGCTTCTGAACTCACCAGCACATCAGCAATGAGGACAGTTTCACAAACTGCAGCTGCCGCATCCTGTAGACTGCAGGAGCTCTCGGAACAGTTGCAGGGCAAATTCTATAAGAATTCCTGTGAGATGTTTTCCATTGGAGAGAACAAAGCACAGACAACTGAGGATGTCCTTGATAACTCCAGCAAAACGATGTCAATTAAGGAAAGGTACTTAAATTTCATTTTTTAAAAAACTCTCTATAAATACAGTTATTAGACTGATGATATAAAAGTAGCTTTAAACCTGTTTCTGAAAAAGCTAAGCAGTGATTATTAGGCTTTATTAGATACTAAATACTAACAGCAGAACCATGCAGCTAATCTGTGTGACATAAAGCCATAAAGCAGATGGTGGTGGATGAGAATTACTGTTCAGGAGAACATGCTAATCTGGTTTTGAGTGAGCCACCTGAATAATCAATAAGTAGTTCAGAAAATGAAAGTTGTAAAAGTACATGTTCTAGTTAGGTTTATACTGATATACCAAATATACTTCCCCAGGTTCTGTTCGCAATTACAACAGGTATAATGGGATTTTTTTTTTTAATAGCCATTTTTTAATTGGTCTATATGAGTCTCTTTTAAATAAGCCAAGTACAGGGAGTCAGAGATAGACTAAGTGGTGTTTCCCTCTCTACTTCAGAAATACATGGTTGCTGTTTTGACTTCTGAGAACTTACTGTAGGGATTTTAAAAGGGTAATAAGTTGGACAGGTTTGTGGGACTATTAGAAATACTTTTTCCAACCCAAGAGCATTCTGATCTGAATCAAAATGTTAAGTGTTCTGTGCTTGTGTGGACAGTAGAAGTTCATGGCTGGAGCTCCAATAGCTGCTGTAGTACTTGTAAAAGTCATCTCATTTAGTTAAAACTTTGAGAGTATAAACTCAGCTGCAAACTGAAAAAGGATCTGATAGTAGTCCAGTGAGTAAAGTTATGATTATTTGCTTCAGATTAACAAATAGGTCTATTTTACTTCAGTTTTTCTGCAATGAAAGCAGAACCAATAAATAAAAATAGCTGCTTGATTAAACTTTCACTGTGTAGAAGTATTACCTCAGTTGATGAGATATTAGGAATTCCTAATCCTCCTCCCCTTTTTTTTAAAAAAACATGACTCCAAATGCTGCTTAAATTAATGTATTTCTCAGCAGTATGTAAATCATCCTTAATAACAGTGCATCCCCACTCTGTTATCCCCTTAACATAGAGGGACATGCAGGGGCAACTACAACAACTGTGTAGTCTTAGTACCCCTTCTGAAGGATGTACTTACCTGTTGTTTTGTTTAAAGCAACCGTCACTCCCCCATGCCCTGTCCCCCTTCTGTAAGTATATCAACTGTCTGGGCAGATAAAATTTAAGACCAGTAACTTGTGGTTTATAGGTGGTAAATCATCTGCCTTCCCTGATCCAAAAGACTGGGGGGGGAAAGATTGGAGAAAGGGCAGATCCAAGTATTAGCAGCTGTTTCAGTCCTGAATTTAATGCTTCAGTTGAGTTGATCTCTTGAGGAACTGATGTTAAAGACTGTCAGTCACATTCACAATCTGGATCACTTCCATTAGGCCTCCAAGGCTGTCTAGTCAGTCCCAAAGCTGACAGCAGTGAATACCTACTGTCTTGTCAGGAATTTGTATATTCTGATTCCACTAACGTCTGTAAATGGCAGAGCTGGTATCAAAACGTTTTAGCCTCCCAAACATTTTAGCCTCCCAGTAGTCTACTTTTTGGCTCAGAATTAAAAAAAACTACAACCAGTCATTTTCTTTTGCATGGCTATAGCTAATGCCAAGTATTCATAAACTTCAAAGAACATTTCTGCTAAACATTAACTATTACACTTTGGATTTCTTTTTTCCTTTTACATTCACTAACTTCATCTTCCCATCCAGTGCATTTTTCTGGCTGTGTCAGACATTCTTTCACCTTATGGAAGAACAGCTTTTCCACAGATGCAATGATACTTGGGCAGGATGCATGCGTGCTGGTCTCGATGAAAGTGATTTTCCACAAAGACTTGCTTCACTGATCTAATATTACCCTTGTGGAGTGAGTGCATGCCTGGCATTTTCAGAATTACCTATATTATATGGAATAATCAAAATCATGATTTTTCAAGGAAGAAAAGGCACCTATCCTCTCCTGCAGACATGCAGCTTGGAGGTGAGAGGGAACAAAGGCTCATATCTTTGAGTAGTTTTGGCTGTGTTTTGTTTTAGGCAGACAGGGCCAATAAATGAGTGGTGGAAACCTTTTGATAATTGTCTTGCACTCAGAAAGAGGAATGTCTTGGAGGACTTCGAATGGAGCATCAGTTGCGTGTAACTACCTGCCTTTGTGTGTTCTGTGGAGACCAAAGTTGCTAGAAGGCCACCCTATCAGCTCTGCTTTAGAAGTCAGCTGCACGCCACAGTCACCATTTAAAAAAAACTACAATAACCCAAATTTCTGGTGGACCTCTTACCATTATTCATTCTTTCTCGGTGAAGAGCCCAGCCTGAAATTAATTTTCAACCTTTTTTTTGATGTATGGACACGACAGCAAGACCTTCTCATGCAGACTAGTTCCCACTATAGTGAATTTATGCACTCTCTAACAGTCAGCTTCCTTTTTTGTAGTTACTTATCTCATATTGGCCTCCAGGATTTATGATTTAGCTGAAATGAACTGGTCAAGTGCAGCCAATGGAGTACGTGTGAAAGCCAAGCCTGTGTCCAGTTTAATCTTTCTCAAGGATAACACTAGCAGCTAAAATACTAAGATATTGCCACAGAAGAAAGATGTGTCATTTTTGACATTTTTTTGCCAGGACTTTTGGTAAGGTCCTTTATACAACTCTCCTTCTTTAGGTAAAACCATCGTTCAAATCTTGTTTCTGTTTCTCTTCAGTATTAATCCAGTGTTTTGTCTTCAGCTGTGACAGCTTTTGCTTTGACTACATCCTGCTACCTCTGGGATGATGATCATTCTGTCTTGATGGCAAATATTGTGTCTCAGGAACAAGTGGATCTTGATGGCAAATATTGTGTCTCAGGAACAAGTGGAAGAAGGACACAGAGCAAACTGCCAAAGATGGGCAGATACCTAAAAAAGCTCTTCTCTTTCAAGAAAAGAGTAAACCTCATTTTTTTCAATTGGAAAAGGAACTTTTGGAGGCAAAAGCAGTATGAATAGAACTGTGAAAGACATAATGAATGATTATTCATTATTTATCAAAAGTGGAAAAACTAGATGTATGCAGTGAAACTAGTAGGCAGCAGGCCTTAAACAAATCCAAGGGTCAGACCCCCTTATTTTTGCAGAGTTTCCAAAGAATTAACTGAGGTCTGAGTTAAGCTACTAAGCTGGTAAGCTTCCTTGTGTAAACCAATTCAGTAGTTCTTGCATCTTTATTCGTACAAAAGGGTGCCTTCCAATTGTTGCTGAGTTCGGACAGTCTGAATTTATTGCTGTTTCCATCATTCAAAACAAATGCACAGCCTTAGTTTTTACACAGCAGTGAAGTTTTCAGTGGCATACTGGGCTTACATGTTTCTTTATGTGGTCATTTCATTGCTCAAAACAGACGAATATGTGTTCTTACTCTAGGAACAAGTTGTTTCATTACAAATAGAAGTGAAGAGTGGAGGACTAGTATAAATCCATCTTTATGACAGAGGATAAAACAGTCTCCAGAGACATAGAATCATTCTTCTGAAGATTTTCCCTTCCTGATCAATGAAGCTGTTTGGGGCAAAGGTCTAGGGCAAATACCTGCAATAATGTCAAGTTTATTTTTTTTCTGCCTGCTATGCTGAGCAGCTATAGTAATTTTTAATAACAAACGTATCTTAGTCCAAAGCTGACAAAAATGCCTGCCAGCTTCAATTATCGCAGATCATCTCTAAGCAAAGCTGACCAGAGAGAACATGAGTACTGAAGATAATTCAACTGCATGGTGGCAATTCAGTCCCATCTTGGTCTCCTCCACAGTTTCACGCATGCATGGATGCACTCCAGAAGATTAGTTCTGGGCAGTGAAATCTTGTGTGTGTTCTGGAAACAATGACCGTGGCCTCAGCTCCTTATTGTGAGTCCTTCCCACCCCTACCCATCCCATGCTGTGAGGTATGAAGCAATCAGGCAATATGAAGCCTGCCAGTGCTGCCTGCCCGGGCAGGAAGAGAGGGAATAACTGCTTTCTTGAGTACTAACATTCTTACTGCCATTGTATTCTGTGGATTTACTGTTTTCTACATTGTCATTTTTTCCTCAAATTGCTGCCTTAGGACCAATTGGTCATCCTTGAATAAGTCAGTAGCACAGTTGTACCCCCTGGATTTTCACAGGAAGCAGCTGCCTGAAACTTGGCTTCTGTCTGGACCTATTTGGCTCTACCCCTTCCTTCTCCTCAGAGTTTCAGGACAAGACTTAACTTTGAGGGTAACAGTAATTGCATCTCTAAGAAGGCATCTCTGTATCTTGTGATCAAAAGAGGTTGTCAACATTGTAACTACTGAACCTGTTCAAATATTAAAAGGCTTAAGGGTTTTGTATAATCTGTACCCAAATGCCATAGATTAAAGAAAGTTATTCATTAAAACTTAATTAAACTAAAATAAAAATTATTTAATGGACCAAAGCAACTACTTGCACAAGTGCTGCAGTTACGTATTTTATGAAGTACTAAGAATGATTTTTGAAAGCTAGACAATTGATACAAATATTAATTTATGAAGAAGATAGACGGAAGATCATGCCTGTGTAGACCTCTTATTCCTAAGTGACTTCCCTTACCCCCAGAACTACCTACCTCAGGGTTTCTATGGATGAATAGGTTCTTATTCTAGCAAAATAAATCTACATGCTGACCCACCAGAGCCAGTCAGTGTCCCTTTGTGCCATGTTCAGAATTTTGCTCAAGATTAGGAAATAACACTTTTGAAAGATCCTACTTTCCTGAGAGTAATGGTAATCCACATTTTAAATGTAAGACTTCCTTTAAATGAGTTGAGTCTTGGCAGATAGATTTCACAGCTGTATTATAGTCAGCACCAAGTTACTGGTGCATTTGTGTCACAGCAGTGCCTGAGCTAAGCGAGGAGATACTGAGCGATCTCTGGAGGATTCTGATGGTAACCTCACTCATTGGAGTTGTAGTGAAAGCAGTAACTGCAGAGTTGTCTTTTGATGGGTCTGATGGGACCTGTTTGATGGGTTCCTGCTGTACAGACCTCTTCCTTCTTAGGTTGTAAAGAAAATATTTTTTTAAATCTTTTTTTTTGTGAAGTACAATAAAGACCAAAGGTAGAATCCATCTTACTGACTTTGGATATCTACAGCATAAGCATCTATAGCTGACCTATTCACTCTCTATGCCTTATTGACAGAAGGGAGGGGAAAAAAGCAGTGATTAATCTAACCTATTTATATGTTTACTTCAGGATGATCTGTGTTGTACTTTAGTGTCCCTTGACTGTACTGGCCACTTTCACTGACTGTACAAATTAACTGGGTGTCTGTATCAGATCTAGATGTCTGTGTTTTGACACATGTTCAACACGTTCAGTAAAGACTTGGTGTACATTTCTGAGCTTTGTATATGTGTATGAAATATAAATAACTATAGTTAATGTTAGAAAACTTAACTTCAAATTCTGTTGAATGCAGCATTATTGAAACAACAAGGGTAGCTTTTTAAACGGTGTTTAACAGTTTTTAAAGCTACTTGTTGGCATATTTCTTTTCTTCTAGGTTGGCATTGCTGAAGAAGAGTGGTGAAGAAGATTGGAAGAGCAGGCTCAGCAAAAAGCAGGAGTATGCGAAAGTGTCCGTCACTGATCGTAGTGCGCAAATGCAAGAAGTTGAGCAGCTGTTGAAGAAGGTAACTCTATCCTTGTTTGGAAAAAACTTCTTGCTTGAAATGCCTCAGCTTTTTGAAGATGCATCCAACTAGACAGGCATGCCTAATATTAGCTACTAGCTCCTGCTATTCATCTTGTTGTCAGCCTTGTTTAAAAACCAATTATCCCAACATGAAAGCTCTTTAAACGAGAATCTCTTCACTTTCTTGTAACATACAATATTGATTAACAGTGTCTTTACAGCAGCAGATTATGAACCAGTAAGTGGGCCTGTAAGGCTTCTGGAGTATTTATAACGATTTAAGCCTTTTTCCCCCCCAATGAAATTGGCTTCAGATTTTAAGTTCAGATGTTTTCTTTAGTGTGATTGATGTAAAACATTCAGATTGCTAAAGCTGTGTTGTCTCTGTACATATCCTTTTTTGCTGAGTAGTGATTTTTGTATCCTAGAAACACTGAGGAAATACAGGTACCAGAGCATTCATTAGCCATTTGGCCTTTGGTTATCTTGCACGATCTTTGGTGTTTGTGGATAGCCAAAACCATCTGGACAAGGATTTTACCTGTCTTGTCAGTGTTAGTGAACCGACTGGGAGATGGGTACAAAGGTGTAGAGGAAAGGGAAGTCCATATTGGTAGCACACTCTGGCTGCATCTGTAAAGCAGAATGATTGCTGATGAGGACCTGCTGTCCATGCCGTTTAGTCTGCTCCTGTGGCCTGACTGCCCATCAGCAGCCATGGTGTTACATGGGAATCCAGGAGTGCGCTTCAGGGCTTAGTTTCATCCAAAAGTCTGTGCATTCAGTGGTGTGAACCAAAGCACAGAAAGTGAGGGTGACTGGGAGATTTGCCTCAAAATGGACTACTGGTTCCAGCTACAGGACTAATGTAGATTTGCTTCCCTTCTGAGTTTAGTGTTTTGAAAATGACCACGTCAGGTAAAATAGGCTGTTTCAAAAGCCTTCAATTTTTGGACTATTTTCACAGAGGACAAGTGAAGATAGAATTTGTTCTATAATTTTACTAGTGGGGACAGCAATCTTTGGGTCCAGTTATTTAGTTGTGAAAATGCTGCTTCTATTAACTAGTATAGGAAAGCAAGAACAAAACATCTCCTGTTTCATCAGTGAATTACAAGTAAGGCACTGTTACACAGTCTGTTACTATTGAGGATAAATCTGTGCCTGAGCATGTGACTCATCAATGGTTGTGTGTTAACTGGACAGACGAACAAGAAAGCTGATTTTTTGCAGTTTGGTTTATGGCTTTTGTTTTGGTTTTGCTCTGTGGACATGCTCAAAAATCCAGTTGCTCATTTGAAAGATGTCCAAAAGCAAAAATGTTTTCAGCGAGGAAAGCAAAATTGCGGTCACATTTTTAACAGACCAGTCTCCAAAATGACAACTGTTGAGATCAGATAACAAATGTACCCCAGCTAAAGACAATGGGGTTGAAAAAGCTTTAAGCAGCTGCCAAGATTAAGGCAGAGACAAAACCTTTGTTCTCTGTTTTCCCTCCCCAGCACCCATATCCCCCCTGCTGTGTTACCATGTGCAACAACTTCACTCAGCATAGCGCAAGTTAGGCTTTTAAAGCAAGTAAGGGAGCATGAAGTACTTGAAGGGCACAAGCTTTGATGTGACAGTGCTAGCAGTGGGAGTATATGTGACACTGGGTCACTCACTCTGCTGGTTCGTGTTAGCTCTTGGCTATTTAGAGCCTAAATCAAAGGGTTTGCATCTCTGCCGATGGGTGAAATCTTGGATGTGTAAGAAAAGCTGTTATTCTTACTAGATACCTGGGTAACTACAGACCGGTCAGCCTCA